TATAATTTTGACCCATACAATGTATTGTTGGCTATTGCTACAAATATACCCCAGCGACTTAAGACTGCTTTTGTGCTCCAGGGTCACATATTTGTATCTTTAAATTATTTATTTATGGTAAGTTTCTTTTTTCTCTCTCTTTTTTCAGAGAGAGTAGTGAGTTTATTACAAACAATGTTTGCTAAATAAATTAATGTATTAAAGTATTGACATAATTTATCATTTACATAAATGTAATCATTGACCTTCATACTTTCTGTTAATACTGTTTAATGTTAATATTATTTCAGCAGATGTACAAGACGAAAAATCATGATCTGTTATGCTTGGCAGACTGATTTATGTTACTTGTTGTCTGTTTTTTTATGTCTTGTCCCAGGTGTTTTTGTTTTTTCCCCTAAAGCCACTAATGTGACTGTGATGTTTCCGTCGGGGACGGGGTTAGAGGTCAGGGCAGGTGAAGGGGTCATGACCTTTACCGTTTTACTGCCACATGACTTACAGAACCACACGCTAGGGCTGCTCGGCACAATGAATGACGACCCTGAAGATGATCTGACCTCTAGTAATGGAGTGATCATCCCTCTCAATAGCAGTGCACTGGACATATTCACCTATTGTGCTGGCTGTGAGTAACTGCGTCACTTTTACATTGCTTTACTGCCAGTTCAGTCAGTGCCTGATGAAACTGAAGGAATCTGAAATTACTATTTATACTGCTTGTCATCTGATATCATTTACTTTCAGTGTTGGGGAAAGTTACTTTTAAAAGTAATGCATTACAATATTGCGTTACTCCATAAAAAAGTAACGGATTACGTTACTTAGTTACTTTTTATGGAAAGTAATGCGTTACGTTACTTTTACGTTACTTTTTAAATCTGGACAGGGCTTGCTTGTTTGTTTTTAAAATAAAAAAGTTATATTTTTGGAAAATATAAAAGCCTTTTCACACCAAAAGTGAAATGAATAAGCCTCAGGCTGAAGGGAAAGTAAATGTACGTCCGTACAGTAGAATGCAGAAGAAGACATTTCAACACACTTCAGCAATAAAAAAAGACAAACAAATGTTTGTCTAGAGTAATTTTGGCTTATTAGTACGGTTGAACTGGATCATCGAAGGTCAGAAGCAAAGACATTGGTTAATAGAATGGGATTAAATACATAAAGGATATTTGTGTTGTTTAACATTTAATTATTGCAGGTTCAATAATTTGATTAATCATATTCTGAGTTGCATTATTTTTATTCATTTTGAGGAATACTGAATCTGTGTTTTTTTTTTTTTTTGTGAGTGAGATGAATTAATGCATATTCATATTTATTTTAGAACTACAGTAACATCTTCTGATTTCTCTCAACATGGGGACAGGAGAGCTGTCAATCAATAAATTGGAAAAAAAAGTAACTTGCGTTACTTATTTGAAAAAGTAACTCCGATATTCTCTTGTAAATTAAAAAGTAATGCGTTACTTTACTAGTTACTTGATAAAAGTAATCTGATTGCGTTACTTGTAATGCGTTACCCCCAACACTGTTTACTTTACATTTACTCTATTTAAGAAAGGCTCCATCTGTTGTAAAGCTACAGTTTACTAATTCAAAGACGTTTCATATTTATTTTGTGACTTCCATGTGGCTTTAATGGAATCACAGGTTTAGTCTGTCACGTAAATACTGTAAATGCAGATGTCCCTTTTTTAAGTGTTTCATTGTTGTTATATATTTATTTAGTTGCGATGAAAAAATCCCAATTGCTGTCTACACTTGTTGTCTATGAATAAAATCGTTATAAAAATCAGATCAGCTAATGATCACCGGCAACTAAGTGTCATTGAAGTTCTATAGTGGTTTCAGAAAATAGGTGAATTACCTTTTTAGATTTAATTGCACAAGAACAGCTAAAGTGGAAGCAATTAAAACTGCTCTGGTTTTGAGAGCAGCATTTAATTTAATACTGTTTTAAAAACATGAGGATACATAAAGTCATTTGTAAAATGTCATCCTATACACTCTCAGAAAAAAGGTACAAAAGCTGTCACTGGGGCGGTACCTTTTCAAAAGGGACACTTTTGTACCTTTTAGATACTAATATGTACACTTTAGGTACTAATATGTACCTTTAAGGTACCAATATGGACTCTTTAGGTACAAAGGTGTGCCTTTTGAAAAGGTACCGCCCCAGTGACAACTTTTGTACCTTTTTTTTCTGAGAGTGTATAGTTGAAATCTTTTGCCTCCTCACAAAGTGCCATGTGTTTTTCTTCTCTAGGGGCCGTTACGAATGAGACTTCACTCTTTACTTACGACTCAACCTACCTCCTGAATGAATATTACTATGCCCCAAAGCATGATCCGTCTTTCATGCCAAACTTTTCGGTGACTGAAGACCCAGAGGACCCCCTGCTGGAGCCGGTGCTGAGCCTCTGTGCCGGAGAGTGGGCTTCGTTCTGTAAATACGACGCACTAAGCATGCGCAGTCTGGAACAAGGCAATGCCACACTGCTGGCCTACCGGAGCCATACGTCCACCAAGAAAGCTCTGGAACCTGGTAAGTGGAGCAGTTTCACTGGGAACCTATTGTGCAAAAGCTTCATGTATATTTAGATTTTTTTTTTTTTGCAGGAGTGGTAATTACAGTATTTTCTTTCCCAGACTTCTATATGTGTGATTTAGGCGGCATCTCACAAAAATACATTTTATAATCCGTGTATTTCTGGCCCTGAAATCGAACTGGATGAGCCACGTTCAAAGTTTTTTACTCATCAGATGAATTATGCATTCATGCATCAATTATTTCTATGGCACCACATACCGCCTACAACTGGTAGTTAATGAAATGACTAATGAAGCACATTTGATTGAATAATAATAATAACAATTTTATCATTTTGGCTAATATTGCATTTAGTTTTCTTGCATTAAGCCTAAAAAACACATGATAAAATTACTGCAACAACAGCCTTTTGTGACTAATGCTTCAATTTACAACAGAAATGTTGTGGTATATTTAATTTTAATTATAAAAATATATTTTTTAATTAGATTTTAAATTTTTATATTAAAATGTAATTTAATTTTATTTTATTTATTCTAAATAGGTGCGTACTGTGGTCACCTGAAGCTTGTTTTTGTGCTTTTTCAGATTTTTACAACATGCTCATATAAGTCTTATCAAATGCTATGCATTTATAACTGGTTATGAGGATAAAGACCAATGTCAGCATTACATAGTGACGTCAAAACAACCTTCAGCTGTTTGCTGAATTTTAAACCAGCGGCACACTATTAAAACTGTGCTCTCTGACCATATCTCAGTTATAAAGCATTGGAGACTTGCATATCATCTGACTGTTATCTGTATAATATCTCTATATAGTTTTGTAACGGCTGTGATTTTGTGATCTCAGTGCAATCCTGTGGTTGGTTGTCACCACCTAACCACGGTCAGAAGGAAGGAACCTTGTACCTTGAAGGGGCAAAGGTCACATTCTCATGTAACAGTGGATACAGTCTCTACGGGTCTCAAGAACACACATGTCAAGCAGACGGCGAGTGGTCTGGAGAAGATACACACTGTGTGGCTGGTAGGTAAAAGTGAAAAAGAAAATCCTGTGACGAATGACTCACAGACAAGTTGTTGCAAACCACTAGATGGCATTGTTTCCCTTTTTAAAGTTCATATCCTCTTGAGATACTAGAAGGCTTTAGTAGGTAATAATAATAATAATAATGTTTATTTTATATAGCGCAAACTCAAGGTCACTTCACAATATCAGAACTGATAAACATGACAGAAAAACAAAATACAGATAAACATGAAATCCATTGCATGAGATCAGAGAAACAAGAAAGGAAAAGCTATGTTTTAAGGTGGGTTTTGAAAGTGTGGGGAAAAGGTGATTCTTTTTTTTTTTTTTACTTTTCCTCCATATTCCATTATGAATAGATGATTTTACATATATAAGTCGAATAATTGCTGTCTCTACCATTCAACATTTTTTCGGGCTTTCAAGGCTGCATTTATTTGTTTATAAACTAAACTAACTTTTAAAAGAACTGTTTTCTGTTTAGATTTTTTTTTTAATAGAATTTATTCCTTTGAATTTTCAGCATCATTACTCTACTCTTCAGTGTCACATGATCCTTCAGAAATCATACTAATATGCTGATTTGCTGCTCAAAAAAATATTTCTTATTATTATCAGTGTTGAAAACAATTGTGCTGTTTGATATTTTTTGGAAACCTTGATACATTTCTTTCTGGATTATTTGATGAATAGAAAGTTCAAAATCAGTACAGGGCCTAAGACGAGAGACTCGTCTTGTCAAACAGACCGGTCACGAGAGCGCAGCAGTCGCACAGACAAACCTGGATGTACTTGCGCTTGTTAACTCTTGACCTCTCGGTCTCATCAGAGCAGAGCGGCGTACTTCCCCTCGATAGGCATCTTCAGGATGGATCTGTTTAGAATCTGATCTGGACTCTCTCCATCAAACACATGAAGCGTGTATCTGCTCCGCAGCTGCAGAAATTCATCCCCCGCTGGTTCGTTGCGTAACCCGAGAGCCAAAACAGAGCAACACACCGGGCCTGTGAGCCAAACCACCTCGCGGTGAATTTACTGAATGCACGCTATTGTAAACATGTTGGATAATTAATATTGGGGAAACTAATAAATAGTAGTGTAGTGGTTGGTGTTCAGCCAGTGCTTTGAAGCTTGTCATCTGTCAGTCGTGATATTGATCAGTATTTGCTGGTCGTAGAAGTACATTGCGTACAGTGCACTTTCTAAATCAATAAAGCAGCCGTTATCGGCTTTATTGATTAATGATCATGGAGTTTATTATCCAACTTGATAAGCATATTTGTGAAACTTTCAGATAAAGGATTTTCATTGAACTCACAGGTTTGTGTATAGGCACTATTTTATTACCGCCATCACTCACAACTCATTATTTATCATCAGGAAATTGTAGGAGAGCATTTTTCTTGATATATGTTTGCTCGCACACCGCTCACACCGCTGCGGTCAGACTACACTCTAAAAAATAAAGGTGCTTCACGATGCCATAGAAAAACCTTTTTTGTCTAAATGGTTCCATAAAGAACCTTTAATCTTTCTGTTTCACAAAAGGTTCTTTGTGGCGAAAAGAAGGTTCTTCAGATTATAAAAAGGTAAGAAAGAGATGGTTCTTTAAAGAACCTTTGACTGAATGCTTCTTTGTGGAACCAAAAAGGGTTCTTCTATGGCATCGCTTTTACCTTTTTCTTTCTGTCTACGTGTTTCTCTTTATTTTCTCTCTTACGCACCTGCATTTAAGAAAAATAATATAATACTTTTTTTGCATTTATAGTAAAATTGCAAGTTCTTTGTTTTGAAATGTAAAGCTGTCAAGCTTTTATTTTGGCGGAAGCCCGCAGGGAGCCCTTAAAGCTTCACTGTTGTTGACAGCAGCCGGTTTATAAGCGCATCTCATTACAATTTTGGAAAGATAGTTGGCACATGTTGGGTTCCTAAATGCATGTTATGAGCAACCCAAACTCAGAGCAGATGTAGAGATGGAGTTCATGTGGAGCAGCATTTACTGCAGACTGAGCCGCTCTGAGACACTAGAAACACCGGATCACGCCGCTTGCATGTAAATGAACACAGTGCCGCGCTTCACTCTGAAACACGCAGGACATCTCCCAGCTTTTGTGATTTGATAATCACACTAAGCCATATTTCAATTTTGGGTTTTAATTGCAATTAATCAGTGTTTTCCCCCTCTCTTCTCTGAATTTGAATGTGTATTTTTAGCTACTAACATCCACAGTGTTCAATTCAATTCAAGTTTATTTGTACAGCGCTTTTCACGATACAAATCGTTGCAAAGCAACGTTCCAGCAAATTAAGTTTCTACAATATTTAGTGGTAGCTTATCAGTGGTGACTGTCAGTCAATGTTGTTTCACGAGAATGACGTGGGACCAGTTTGGTGGGGTTTTTTCATTTGCAAAAGTAATTTTTCAGCTGTCATAAAGGATTCGCACAGATCCGCTCTAGTTAGCATGAAAGCACAGCCTACAGATAACCCCCCTCCATACATGTACATCTTTTCATTCTCATGGTATGGCCATATCTGTTGCTCTTGAGCTTGTCTATAGTCATTATCTTTGTCTGGCGCTCTTAAGAGCTGACATGTGTCATAGTGAGCGAGGGGCTCAGGGCTCCACCTCCACTTGAACTGATAGTCGCACTAAACCTCTGTTTACTCCCATGTTGCAAAACAATGTGGGGTCTCAGCGATCTTTTTCCCTCTTATCTGTTCCTCTGCTTTCCCTCTCTCGCTCTCTCCTTCTCTTTCTATTGTTTTGGCTACTGGCTGATAAAGGTTGACATTCTAGCCCACATACCCCTCGAGCATGTCAGTGGCGCTGGGATCAAAGAGCTGCCCGGGCCTGTAATTGACTTCCCATTACAGCGCTCTGAACCCCCAGCAAATAACCCTCAACGGTTAGTTATTTGCATGCATTCCAGTACCGTTCATATTCAGAGGAGCAAAAAGCAGCAAAGTGAGGGTGAAATGAAGTGAAAAGTGCAGGTTAACAAAAAGGACAATCATGTGGCATGTGCAGGGCTGCAAGCAATAATTATTTCAAAAATCTGTCAATTATTTCCTCAATTAATCATCATTTCAAACATCTCCCAAATAATGTATGCATAATTTTTCAAATATAAATCAGTGATTTTAACTAGTTAAAGAAATGAAACAAAATCTGTTTTTTTACAGATGTAATCAAAAATGGCTCTTGTTCCGGATTAGATGGATATAATGTTGGAACTTGTTAATAATGTAATTATTGAGTTCTGGAATTTGAATTTTTTTTCAGACAGTAATCTTTCTAATTTCGCAAATTTCCTGTTTTTATGAGGAGAAAGAGTTCACCTGTCCGGTGCTCTTTTTGCAATTTTTCTAAAAGTACATAAAGTACACAAAATATGTATACTGTATATACATTTAAAATGTAATGTAATTTTACAAATTAATGACACTTTTTGCAGATTGATATTTTTGTATATACCATGAAAAGAGCAACATTTATTTGAGCTATACATTTTTTTGTAACATTATAAATCTTCTTATTGTCACTTTTGATCAATTTAAAGCATTTTAACTGTATTTTCATCACACACACACACATGTAAAACTTCAACTTAATGTGTTCAATTTAATATATATATATATATATATATATATATATACAACTAGAAGTGTGTTTTAAAACCTGTAAATACACAAGTTTTAACAACAAGACAGTTTTATTATTATTTTTTTTTAAATGGGAATGCATTGTTCCTGTTGAAGGACCCAGCTAATCTGTAATGAAATTTAAGGTTGATTCTTGTCAATTTGATTAAAAATTTTATTGAATTGATGTTGCAGCCCTAGTTTTGAGAGTCAATAGCGCTGTTTTGTTGGGTCTGACCTCATGAAGCCCATCTGGACTCTGTGTTTGTATAAGTGTGCCTCACTGCTCTGCAGATGCCCTGAGTCTCTACATATGGCACTGATGCTGTACCGCTTTGTCGAATTACACTGGTTATAACTCTCTCTCCATAAAGAGTCACAAGATGGGGAAAAAGGAGGCTACAGGGAAGCAAAGAAGTCGATTAGGAAGAGCAGTAGACGTGAAAAAGAAATCATCTCTCCAACTTCCAAGAACAGAGAGAGATATTTATTCTTAAAGGACACTCACATATGAGTGCACATCCCAATGAGACCCTGGAGGATGCAGAACGGCATGAGGGGGCACAGAGAAATGACGGACACAGCCGCCAGTGAAAATGCATTGTGACAGACTGAACTCCGCTGCAGAGAGAGTAGGAATATGATGCAGAACCGAACTGACAGCGTGAGTTTAGCCGCTAACTTGCTCTTTTTCTTGTTCCCAAGGCAACGTGTCATCAGCATCGGTCCAGGTCACCTGCAGCCCTCGAGTGCATTTGAGGGGCTAGAAAAACATGTGCAAAAGCAAACAGTGCTGTAAATATTGTGAAGTGAAGCCACAGCACTAGCAAAGTCAGTGCTGTAAACATTGTGCTCATAAGTTTGGATCGGTAGGATTTTTTTATTGTATTCAAAAAAAGTATCTTATGCTCTCCAAGGCTAAATTTGGTGGATTAAGAATACAGTAAAAACAGTGTTATTGTGAAATATTATTGCGATTTAAAATACCTAATCCTTTTCTGTTGTAATAGTTTGATTTATTCCTGTGATGGCAAAGCTGAATTTTCAGCAGCCATTAATTCAGTGTCACATGATCCTTCAGAAATCATTCTAATATGCTGATTGCATTTATTTGAAATAGAAATCTTTTGTAGCACTGAAAATGTCTTTACCGTCACTTTTGATCAATTTAATGCATCCTTGCTGAATAAAAATATTAATTTCTTAAAACAATCTTTTTGAGTGATATTTTAGGTGTATGTATCACTTTTAGGATACCTTTATGTTGCTTGAAAAAATCTGTTCATTTATTGAAATTGCATGGGAAAGAATGTGCAGTACAATTCTCTAAGATATAGTCTTTTGTGTAAAAA